AAATGTAATTTACATACTGTCACTGAATAATATCATAGTCTAACACAACATCCAGAAATATTATGGCAGTCCCTAGCTTTCGGGCATTTCGGTCGTGCTCATGAATATTCATAAATTAATTATGCAATGTGATAATTGCCTGCAATAACGCATGAGTGTCAACTGTACAAACTTCACTTACTGATGGGCTACCAAGGGATTTATACAAACCGTGATCAAAGTTCAATTCCAAATAACACAGTACAGCACGATTACTTGTTCATTTCAGTTACGTTTGGCTTCTTATATCAACATTCCTCTGCTTCTGTTCCATTCTATTTCATCTCTGACAACCTCTAAGTAAGAGTGATTGAGCCAATGAATGTCTTACAATCTAACGTGGGTGTATATGCATTTTGATATTAACACGACCATGCGTGCGTGTGTGCAAGCAAACATATATTGTTCAGAAACCAATGGAACGCACTTGATAGAAATATGTCTCGGGGTGTCTAACTAATTGGTTATGTGAAGGTCATATCAAGGTCAAACTTCGAATGCCAACTAAAAGTTTATGTTTATTTTCGTCTTGTAATTTTACCAGCTGAAAGAATATATTACTCCATAAATATCAAAGTCAGGTCAAATTCAAATACAAATCTGCATAGTTACTGAATAACCCCCATAGATCAGATTGGCCGAAATAAAAGTCAACAAAGGCCATTATATATTATTTAACACGGAATATTGTATCCAAGGGTACAAAAACATCTTCACGGACATGTCAAGGTCAAGTCATATCACAAATATGTATAATATCATGTTATATCCAATAACATTATTTGTTTACATTCTTTGGACCCATGAACATTAATTTTGCGTTAAATTTTAATGAATTTCGTTTTCTAAGATGATTCACACTTATAAATCTCTCTATGTGCAACGTAATTTAGCTGTAACTTTTCAAATAAACATTGTCTTCTTTCATCAAAACTAATAAGCCAAGAGTTCTGCAGAGGACGACTAACCTTAACATCCAAAATATATTTTATCAGATACAATGTTCTCGTAATGAAATAAACCCTTTGATGAAATGAATGTCACTTGTCAGATTTAAAACTCTGGTTTCAAACGACAACCATTTGTTTATAACTCTGAAAAGGGTTTTCATGACGGACAAATCTTTCAGTGATGTGTATATTTCGGAAATTATAATAATGACAGCACGAGTAGTTGCTACAAAGTTAATGTATATGTCTCAGAGAAAAATGAGCTTTCCTAAAAATGGAGACATTTTATCAATGAAAAAATATATCCAGTACAAATGTGCATATGATTGTCCCTCATTTGCATATTGACCTCAACATACCATATGATTCCTTGAAAAGTGTCTTCCATATGTATTGGTTGACGTAAACACGTCAATGCGTGTTAACTGAGAAATTAACAGTGTATTTAAATAATCGTGTTAAACTATCTAATTAACTCGCTAACCAACCGACTCACTACCTACCTAACTAACTAAAAAAT